GGGAAGGGTAGCAGGAAGAGGGGGAGGGAGAAAGTGGAATGGCACCGACAGAGGGAGAGAAGAATATAAAAACATAATTTCACTTCCTCTGAACCTCCACAGACAATCAAGGCAAGTACTTAATTGACAGCTAATCAGGCTGTAAGAGATTGGGTGCTATTTGGATGGGAGGACCACACAAAATGGCATGTTGTCCCTTCCCTCAACCCCAACAGACCCTTTGTAGCCCAATCCACCCCATACCCAAAATGGCTGGTCTGAACAAGCCCACTGTAAGCCATGAAATGCTTATTAAACCCCATATTTAGGAAACAAGCTGTATTTGCAAACTAGGTGGGGATTCTAAAAGTTCTGAAAATTTAAGAAAGTTCATCTTTCATTGAAGTGCCACATAATTGGAGGGGTCTTCAAATGGCACATTTTCCCCCAAGAAAAGATAAAAATATGTTTCTAAGGCTGAATTAACATATGTTACTTTTCAATAGCTGAAATCTTGTTGCTTAGTGTAGTAGGCCCACTGAATCAATGGATTTGATGCATCATCTCCTCCATAGGTTCCATTGACTGAATGGGCCTATTCCAGTTGCAATGTGCAACGCTAAAGTAAGTTGCAACTGGAGTTGGCTCATTTGAATCAACAGAACTTATGGAAGAGCAGACTGTGTGATTTACTATGCTAAACCTGAGGATTTCAGCATTTCTATGAGCATCTGAAGTTTGAATTGGGCTTATTTATAAGCTTGCAGTAGCTGTGAACAATTTTGACTGTTTGAAAAATGATCATAGGTTCACTGAATGCCATATCGCAAACTGCTAAAGAGAGTATGAAAAGCCATTGTTGTTGAATAGCTGTTGTACTTCTATCAAGGCTGGTAAGTGAGTGACTGGCTCTGTTGGCAGTACAGAATGACAGAGGGAGCAGAGATGGAGTCTGTCTGTCTGAGCCTGACGAGTAGTTCAATGGCAATGTGACAAATTTATCACAATATATATGAACTGAATTATTTGTCTGACACTGTTATGTTACAGGTCGATTATCTGTGGCAGAAGAGCTTAAGTAAAAATATTTCATTCCTATGACAACTTTGCAGTGTGATCACTCAAAAAGATGAAGGGCTCATCTAAACATAGCATTGGTCCCCCCATCCTTTGTGCTGGTTGGTGCCTCTTGGTCCCAAATGATCATGGATCTTGCTAGGGCTTCTGTTGACAATTTACTGTATTTCTAAAACTCATCTTCTTTTCTCATCTCCTCTCTTGAAGAAATCAGCATATTTTAAGGGAATGGATCGAAGCAATCTCCAAAATTTTGAAGAAACACTTTAAAACTGATTCCCCATGGTAGATTAGGTATGTGTGTATACACATATATATGTTTAGTAGATTAGTAGTACTAGTCAAAGCTTTCAAATATGACTAGTCTTCAGAAGCAGTTTATGCCACTCCTAATCTCCTCTAGGTACAGGGACATGGTGGCGCTGCGGGCTAAACCGCAGAAGCCTCTGTGCTCTGCAGGGTCAGAAGACCAAGCAGTCGTAAGATCAAATCCACGCGATGGAGTGAGCTCCTGTCGCTTTTCCCAGCTCCTGCCAACCTAACAGTTTGAAAGCATGCAAATGCGAGTAGATAAATAGGTACCACCTTGGTGGGAAGGTAAAACAGTGTTCCCTAGTCACGCTGGCCACGTGACAATGGAAACTGTCTTCGGACAAGCGTTGGCTCTACGGCTTGAAAATGGGATGAGCACCACCCCCTAGAGTCGGACATGACTGGACTAAAAATGTCAATAATCTCCTCTGGAAATCAGCTGTTTTTTAATTGATTTTTGCAGAACACCAAGGAAATATTTCTACAAATGATTCTCTTTCCTGGAATGCTTTGCTTTTTGCTTTTTGCTTTTTGCTTTTTGCTTTTTGCTTTTTGCTTTTTGCTTTTTGCTTTTTGCTTTTTGCTTTTTGCTTTTTGCTTTGCTTTGCTTTGCTAACACTGAAAGCTTCTAATCTAAGCTCTTTTCAGTGGAGGTTGATCCTGTTCCCAATCACCTTTGGAAGTCAACTGTCTTTCAAACCAACTCTCAGAAAAATGGCGAGGAACACTTGAAACCCCTTAAAAATATTTTCTGTGCTGGATTTCAGTTTGTCCTTGCATTTTGACAGTAGATTAGCATGAATGTACAAAGCTTCTGTCCAGAATTTTCCTTTCCCCTGAACTCCACCCTGCTACAAAGTGAAACAAACAACCCTCCCATCTGTTTGTAAAATACCTGGAAAGTCAGAGTTCTTGTCACTCTTGGAGTGCCAATGTGACATTTGCATCATCTGGAGGGTGCACAATTGGGTGTGTAGAGGGAAGCAAATCCTTTAGCTGGTTGAGCTCTAAACTGATTGGTGTGTGAAGGGGAACAGGAGACATAGAAAGGATGGAGGAAGAATTCCCAGGAATGTAGGAGAGAAAACAGTGAACACTCATTGAGTTGTGTGTGCATAGTTATAAAGAATGAAAGCTCTCATGAAAATCAAAACATTTGTTTTTGAGCATAAACAGAAACCACTTCATTCTCAGCCATTAGGAGTCTGACCATCACACATCTCAGATAGACAGTTCAGGACTTTGATGCCCCAGGACCTTCTTCAGCTGGTACCTCCTTCAGTTTTTTACACACAGCTGTTTTAAACAAAACAAAACAAAGGGAGGAGCAGCCAAGATCTCTAAATTATTTGAAAGGAAGGGAGAGAGGGAGGAAGGAAAGAAGGAAACCTCCAATTGATTTTCCCCAAACCACTTTCATCTGAATTTCTCCAAAATGGTAAGAAATGTGGAGAAATTCCTCCTCACTTTTGTGAGCTTGTGGCTGAGAAAAAGCCCCAAATTAAACTCCAACAAACATGTTTGTGTGTTTGTGTGTGTTTGTGTTTGTGTGTGTGTTTGTGTGTGTGTGAAAACTGAACCCATAAGCATTCTGAATGTTTAATATAAACATTCTGTTATATCTTAAATACTAACTGTGCACTTCCAGTTAAGTGTTTCTAATATAGAACATATCACAACTGCTTCACAAGCAGCCCACTCCATAAAGAAATATGCATATATCCAGTGGACAACACAGCAGCTTGCATTAGTTACAGCAGCATCCTTCACGCTTCTGTTAAACAAATGGGATGATTCTGCTAGGCAGCTTGGCAATTATACTACCATTATCTAAAGGTTATTGCTAAATAAGACGGCACTTCACAGTGACTCAAATGCTTTCAGGCCATTGTGTAGGTCATATTTTTCAGGCCAGTCTTGACAGGCTGGGAATGGCCCAAGACACATTGCTGCCTGAGGCAAAGGACAAGGAGTTTTTTTGCTTACGGGTTGCTGAATTTTACTTCTGCTCTGGCAGCATGACAGCAGGCTATACTGTGCTTGACAGCAGCAGAGAGGAGACTGCAAAGCAAGTCAGGTCAGCACACACACCTCTATATTTCCAATAGCACAACAGCACTGAAGCAGCCACCTGACTCTGCCTAAAGGGGGGGGGAAGCCCTGCATTGGGTGTCCATCCTTTGCTGACATCTTTCAGAACTGAAAAGACAGCTATGGGATCAAACAAAGCTGTATCGAAACATTTTGTTATCATGGAGGCAAGCCCCGTGCCTATCAGAAGGCTGCAAGAAAGAAGAAACCAAATTTGGCGGCGGATGACATTGGAAATTATAGGGCGGTCACCAACGTTTCCTTCCTCAGCAAAGTGGTCAAGAGGGTGGCGGTAGACCAGCTTCAGGCGCTTTTGGACGAAACCAACGCTCTGGACCTATTTCAGTCGGGCTTCAGGCCACGCTATGGTACAGAGACGGCACTGGTCGCACTGTTGGATGACCTGTTGAGGGAGGCCGATGGGGGCAATATATCCTTGTTGGTCCTCCTTGATATCTCAGCCACCTTTGATACCGTCGACCACAGTATCCTCCTGGGGAGGTTCTCCGAATTGGGAATTGGTGGCCTGACACTTGCCTGGCTCCATTCCTTCTTGGAGGACCGTCCCCAGAGAGTACAGCTTGGGGAGAGTGTCTCGGCCCCGTGGAGCCTCAATTGTGAGGTTTTGCAGGGGTCGATCATCTCTCCAATGCTGTTTAGTATCTATGTGAGGCCACTGGGTGAGGTCATCAGGGGGTGTGGGGCATCGTGCCATTAGTACGCTGATGGCACACAGCTCTACATCTCCTTTTCACCTACTTCAGTGGAGGCCGTTCTGTCCCTTCAGCGCTGCCTGGAGACTGTACTGCAATAGATGCAGCTGAATAGGTTGAGGCTGAACCCAGACAAGACAGAGGTCTTGAGGGTTGGTGGCCATTCCATTAGCGGTTTAGGTGACTCCCTTTCTTTTGGGGGGATGACCCTCACCAGAAAGAGTGAGGTCCGCAGCTTGGGGATACATCTGGATCCAACACTTACCATGGAAACCCAGGTAGCGTCCATGGTCCGTTCCACCTATTTTCATCTATGGTGGATTGCTCAGTTTCGACCATATCTTGATGGGGGGGCTCTCACTACTGTAGTCCGCGTGCCCGTAATCTCGAGATTAGACCATTGTAATACACTCTACGTGGGGCTGCCTTTGAGGTTGATGCGGAAACTTCAGGTGGTCCAGAATGTGGCAGCCAGGCTCCTTAGCGGGGTGAGAAAATATCAGCATATCTGCCCCACTCTGGCTGCCTTGCTCTGATTGCCCATCTGTTTCCGCATTGTTTTCAAAGTGCTAATGATTACATACAAAGCCCTAAATGGTTTGGGACCTCGATATTTGGCAGATCGTCCTCTTCCACCTAGATCTACCCAAATCACCCGACATAGCCAACAGGGACGGCTGAGGGGTCTGACGCCAAGAGAGGCCCGGAAGAAAAAACAAGAAACCGGGCCTTCTTGGCGGTGGCCCTTCGGCTATGGAACACCCTCCCAACTGAAATTCGGCTGGCACCCTCGCTGGGTGTTTTCAAAAGCCATTTAAAAACTTGGCTCTTCAAGCAGGCCTTCCCTCCAGTCAATTAATTGATCTTTATTTTTCTTCCTTGAGTCATGTCATCTTGGTAATATGTTGCCTGGAATTAATTGCTATAACTGTGTCTTTGATGATATTTATACATGTCATATTGTTGTGTTTTTATCCATGTAAGCCACCCCGAGTAGACACTGTCTAGGGGGGGCGGGGTAAAAATCTAATAAATAAATAAAATAAATAAAGAAAGAAAGAAATGGCTGCAGGACCACTTTCTAGTAAATAGCTTTCAAAGACAACTTAAACTGCACTACTTGCTGTCAAGACTCTGCTCACAACTTGAGTTCAATCTTGACAGGCTCAGATAGTTGGCTCAACGTTGACTAAGCCTTCCATCCTTCTGAGGTCAGTAAATTGAGTACCCAGTTTGCTGGAGGATGTGGGGGAATGTGTAGTCTGCATAATTGTAAACCATTCAGAAAGTGCTTTAGGTGCTGTGGGGTGGTATAGAAGCAGCACATTTTGTTTTGGACATGGGAGATATTGTTAAGATGACTAGCAACTATTCATAGCCTTTTTCTTCAAGAATTTATCTCATGGTGTGGTGACTCCGGCCACTGTATCGTGATAATTTATGAGAGGCTTCTATGTTATATTCCTCACAGAAACAAGTGGTGATTATTGTACTTTTGCTTTTCCCAATCTTTTTTATTATTCACTGATGTGTCTGTTTTACCTCTGAACCCCACCACTTCTGAAAACTTGAAATCTCTACTTGTGCCTTGTCCCCTAGTAGAAAATGTAGAGTGCCAATTGTGGCACAAATTTGCAGTTTTCTAACACCTACTCTTGGGTAGGACTGGCTTTTGTTTGAATAGATTTATAAGTAACACCTTGTAATATGCAAGGTTTGTCTCTTTAAGATATAGGTTTAAATTGATAATGCTATCCTTAGTGAGTAGGTATGGAGATCCAGCTACAAGATATTGGGAAAAGTTGGTGTGCTTTGTACTGTGAGTTTATGGTATTATGTTGCTGTTAACTTCTTGTTTTATTATATGGTAGCCTTTAAAGAAACCTCTTATCTTAAGCTGCCCAATGCAGGCAAATATTTTTCATAAGATTGATATCTGTTTGTTCCTCTGTTTCAAAAAGCATTGCATTTCCCCATATGATGTGGGGTAGAGACACTTTGATTGGCTGTAAAACATTATGGTTGAAGCTATATACCCCAGCATTCAGAACACACATCATGAAACTTGTTATCTATTGATACATACTTATACCTTTAGGAGTACAAGAATTTTAAATGGTCTGGACTGGAGCCCACATTTTAATTCTTCTTAAATTAATATTATTGATACAGGTGTAGTTATCTTTACATTTTAAGTTTTGTTTGAAATTTAGGTTTGGTTTTCTCTTGTTCTCTTTGTGGCTAGATACAACTGCTGGATAGCTCAGTGGTTTAGATCTCTGGCTGCAGAGCCAGACGTTGGGAGCTCAATTCCTCACTGTGCCCCCTGGACAGGGGCTGGACTTGATAATCCATAGGGCCCTTTCCAACTCTGTGGTTCTAAGATTTCTAAGAAGCTAGTCATTACAAATTCCAATCCAGAAAGAGTAGTGACCATTTCTTCAGTGGTTCCCATAATTATAAAAGCGACTAGCAGCTACAAGCAGGCATAGCAAAGACCAGTCAGTCAGAAGCCAGCATCTTAAAAAGCAGTGGTGGCAAGTGGCGTTTGAAAAGACGGGAGAGGAAAAAAGAAATTTTAAAACTCCTGCCTGTTCCAGGGTGTGAAACATACCTTTCCATGTTTCCCAAGGAAACATGTTAGCACTCAGGGAAGTCTCAGTCCCAGGTGACAGCATCAGGATGAGATCACAATGGCCAGTCCCTTCAGGTTGACAAGCGACAGGATGAAGTCATGACAGCCAGTGTCTCTCCTGCAGACAGATGGCATCAGCATGAGGTCACAAAGGCTGCTTTCTCATTTTTAGCCTCATAGCATCAGCATAAAGTCTCTACCTTAGGCTGGCAACATCAATACGAGGTCGCAATGGCCAGTCTCACACATTGAATGGGGGTGGCGGTGGCAGCAGTGGCAAACAGCAGATATGACACAAAACTGCCCTTGAGAGAAGCAGAAATACATGAGTGCAACCTCTCACTGAAGTGAGCTTATTCTGGGGCATACTGTGTGTCTTTGGGAGTGGGTGATCGCAATATGTGGACTATGTGGTGAAATGGACAGCACTGTGTGGACAAGGAAGGAGCAGGGAAAGAGGGGAGGGAGGCTGATAGGCAGGAACCCCAGCTATTCCAGAGTTTCTGCTTGTAGCAGTGGTGCCACAACAGACTGTCACCAAATGAGGGAGACGGAGAAAAAGTGGGCCCACAGAAATGATGGCAGCAAGGATAGCTGAAATGACAGGCAGGGAGGCAGAACAAAAGCAGGCGTCACCATCATGCCCCAGATACAGCAGGTAGCATGTGTCCCTTCAGGAGGAAATTATGAAAGGGTATGGAAGACCACGTTGTAACAGCCTCTGAGTGGATGAGGCATTCCCAACCACTCCTGTCCTGCCTAGGGTTGGGACAGAGAGATGTGGAGATTGTGGAGAGAACAGGCAGTGCTGGGGGGGTGGGGAGGCAGAGGAGTCCTAGAAGAAGATATTAATAGAGGAGGAAGCAGCTATAACTTCCATGCTCTTGGCACCACAAGAGCGCAGAAGCTGTAATTCTACATAACATCAAATGTTTAATTGCAAGTGCAAATGTTCAGAAGATGAGATGTAGAGGAAAGTATACTTGAAAAAGGGAGGCACTGACTGAGATCCAGTGTAACAGGGAAGCGATAAGCCCTATTGGCACAATTAAGTGGAATCAAAACACTTGGCTGTGGAGATGGAGGAAGGAATCATCCAGCCAGTGACAACACAATAGGTGGTAATGACACACAGTATGCTTGGAAAAGCCAGGTGGGAGCATACAATTCCCATCTTGGTTCTCTTCATCGTGATCTTGGCTTGGGAGGAAAGCTTTACCCAGACCCTGACAGGCTCATTAACTGCTTCTTTGTGGTGCCCATTCTTCAGGCAAAAGTAAAGGTTCCCCTTGAGATTTAGTCCAGTCATGTCCAACTCTAGGGCGTGGTGTTCATTTCCATCTCCAAGCTGTAGAGCCAGTGTTTGTCCATAGACAGTTTCCATGGTCACGTGACCAATGTGACTAGATACAGAACGCCGTTTCCTTCCCACTGTGGTGGTACCTATTTATCTATTTGCCTTTACATGCTTTCGAACTGCTAGGTTGGCAGGAGCTGCGACAAGCGACGGGAGCTCTCTCTGTTGCGTGGATTCGATCTTACGACTGCTGGTCTTCTGCCCCTGCAGCACAGAGGCTTCTGCGGTTTAACCCGCAGTGCCGCCACGCCCCATTCTTTACCCTCTGGCAAATACTCCATGTGAAAGGTATCAAATATCTCCCTGTGCTACCCTCCTAATACTCTCCTCTCCTTTTTGGTCATTTGATCTCTTACCATTCCCTCCATAGGGCAGAATAGATGGTTCTCTCTTTTTTTTTTCTCAGCATTTTGACCTCTTGTTGACACCACAGGGGAGCAATTATATTATGTTGTTATTTAATTTGGTGGCAGCTTTTAAAATGGATTCTACTGCATGATTTGACCAGTCACAAATGGTGCAACAGTTCCACTTGGAATTCTTGCTTTTGCCCACTTAGAATACTAGAACAAAATTATCTTACTTCCAGGGCATGATGGAAGCACAATGCAATGAAAATGCTATGGATGTGTGTGCAGTGGTGGTATATAATTGTTTCAAATAAGCAGTGGGAAACAGATGTAAGATCTACCAGTTATGTTCTTGACCTCAACCATTTAAAAAGGAATACAACATACACAAGCTTTCTATTTTCAGTTACAGATTAGAAGCTTATTAAATTAAAGCTGGCTAGATAGCATAGTGAGTTAGGTATCTGAGAACAAGGGGTTGGAAGTTCAATTCCCCACTCTGCATCCCAATAGAAGAGCCAGCCTAGGGAGCCTGGGGCAAGCTCTACTGTCCTAGGGCACCCCTAGAGGAAGTGAATGGTAACCCACTTCTGAGTTACCTCTATATCTTAAAAATCCTGGAAAGGATCACCATAAATCAGAAGTGACTTGACAACATATAATGATAATGATAATGATAATTATTATACTAAAAGTCTGTTTGCACCAGAAAATGTATCTTCAAAGTGCCTAAATAGAATTTTAAAAAAGCCTATCTGGAGAGTTCTCCAAGTTGAAGAAATTGATATTGGGCTACTGGTTACATAATTATAAAGACCTTATAAAGAGTTTTCCCTCACGAAATTGATATTGGGCTACTGGTTACATAAAGACCTTATAAAGAGCTTTCCCTCACTGACTGGCTCTCTGAGTAGGTTTTTCAAATCAATTGTTGTGCCTTACTGCTTTGAATGTGTTTTTCCAGTGTTGCTTCTGTTTTTTAGTGCAATGCTTGCTTGATCCTTTTGAGTATTTGTATATGTACTGTTTAGCTTTAAATATTGTCTTTTTATTTCTTTATTTAAAATATTTGTAACCCACCTTTCTCCTTAAAAAGGACCCAAGGTGGCTTACAACAAAAGGCAGGATTAAAGCTAACAGCAGTGAGTATACAATACTAAAAGGATCAAATGAATACAATACTAATAAACATAAGCAACACAAAAACACATTCAATGCAGTAACGAACAACAACAGTCCATTTAAAAAAAAAAAACCATTCAACAGCCAGTCACTCAGAGACAAATCCATGAATACCCCCTAAGCTTACCATAACCTTTCTGAGCAGCCATTCTCAATGGGAGGCAGGCAGGCAGGCTGGAACATTTGAAGGGGCCCACAGATTGGAAACAATTCTTCACACATCACCTGATAAGGTTCGCTATGCGACTTAAAAATCGTGATTCAGCCTGTATTTCTTTCATATTATGTTTATGGCTGTGGCAAAAAAAGAAACAAAAAGTTGAGAAAGATTTCTCTAAAGCATCATGAAAAAGCTATGCTTCTGCTTCACGTGTCCTATTCCTCTGAAACACTTCCACAGTCACATAGTACCACGTCCAATTTAGTATGATGATCATCATCTTAGAACTGCAGATGTGAAAAGCACCCTATAGATCAGTGGTCGGCAACCTTGGGCCTCCAGATGTTCTTGAACTCCCAGAAATCCTGGCCAGCAGAGGTGGTGGTGAAGGCTTCTGGGAATTGTAGTCCAAGAACATCTGGAGGCCCAAGGTTGGGGACCACTGCTATAGATCACTGAGTCCACCCCTGTTAAAGAGGCACAGTGAGGAATCGAATTTCCAGCCTCTGGCTGCTCACCCAGACGCCTAAACCACTGAGCTATGATCTTACTCACCATCTCTCTGCATTGCTTAAGCCCCAGGTCTGGGTGGATTCTACTTTTGTCCTGACATAGGCAGATGCATTAGAAGGCAGTTCACTGAATGCCAGTGTATATCCCAGTACGGTGAGACACCATCTGTGCCCTTGCACCATAGGTACAAAAATGTGATTGACAGATACCAGAACTGTGGTGGAGCTACTTATGTCCTATCATGTGCATTAAAGCCAAATTGTGGGTGGCAAAATCACACAAAATGAACCTATGCATATAAACTTCTGCACACACATTACCTTACATATTGGACTATTACTTTGTATTTATCATTTGCATAGATAACACACAAATGCCCGCTACAATATCTATTCAGACCTTAACACTGAGATTTCCCACTATTGTTTGCAGATTAGCTGAACAGTATACGGGAATCTAAGTTATGACATCATGGTCCGATAGCAGTCCCACTGTTTAACCCTGACCTTCCAGATGTTGCAGGACCTCATCTCCCTTTCGCCTCAGACAGTCTGGCCAATAGTGGAGGATAATGGGAGCAGCAGTCCTTCAATATCTGGAGGGGAGGAGGGGAAAATGATCGAAAGCAAGCAGGGAAGGGTTATGTGAATGGTACTAAGTAAGGAGGAGGAGTACACCGAATGCCGCCAATGTCCAATATATTCATTCTTCACAGGGACTGAAGGTGTAGTGTTCTGCGCTCAGCTTAAATGAAATGCTATGTGAAATGATAAGAGTTTGAAGTCAAGGCATTATTCGTCATGGCTTGATGTTGCTTTTTCTGAGTTTAATTTCTTTTTCAGGGGAACGACCTTCATGCTGACGGGAAGGAAGGGGAGTTGGAAACTGTCCTTCAAAAGACAAAATAACAGCCTGTGACATGCCTTTTGGAGATCAGTTCTGCAAGCTGGCAAGCACAAATTAAACTCTCCTATCATCAATGGTGGATCAGATTTTAAGGCTGTCCATAATGGTCATGGTACTGAAGGCTTGTTGATAGGGAAGATGAGGCTTATAATGGCAGCAGCAGCCTTCATTATAGTTTATCTGGACGTAGCTGGCAGGATGTAATAAACTGAACGAGACTGAAATGACAAGTCCATAGGCTTAAGAGTCCCCAGCAGGATATTCAAGCAAGAAGCAGCAGGTTAGACAAAATTGACATACGTGTCAACTCTATTTGTAGCCTCAAAACCATGCAGAACTGACTGAAATTCATGTCTTGTTGCCAGAATAGTACTCTCTCTGTTAATGAAAAATATTTGTGCTATTAAGGGACCAATAGAGTTAACACTGATGAACATTTAGAACCCATTTATGTAGCCTGCAAAGGGAGATGATGGCTGTTGCAAATATATGTTAAAACTGTTTCATAGCATAGCAATAAAACAAAATGTAAAATAAACGTTACAACCAAGGTGAGTTGTGTGGTTCTTACGTTACAATTCATTCCTTCAAAGCAACTGCAGATGAGAGATACTTCTTCCAGTAAATGTTAGATAAGAATATCCAAAAATCTGCAAATTTCATCATGTTTAGAAGAGTGAAAACTTGATATTTGTGGGTGACTGCATCTTGCTGTTGACACCTCATGGAATTTAGAAAGGTATCACTGAACCTTTGTGAAATAATGGTGACAAAAACTCACGGAATTTCTGGGAGGTATAGTCAGGCAAGTTGTGCTGACTCTTCGCTGTTTGTTTTCAAAAGATATGGCAGTAAATTTAGTGATGGATGGGCAGATAAAGCCAGAGAAAAAGGCAGAATATGATCACACGTAGTTAGTAAATTATGTATTTCCCATGCCTGCTCTAAAAGGGTTTCATTTGCTATGTATGATGTCACAAATGGCAAGATCTGATTGGTTCAGTCATGACCAGCTCAAAATAATGACATGATGAGTTTAATATGTGCTCCCTGATTGGCTAGGATTACCTGAAAAGGAGTGAAAGAGGAAAAATTACCCATCAAAAAAGAAACAAAGGGCACAGCTGTGTAAGGAGTCAACACCCATATACGTAAAAAAGCAGATATCCCCTACCTTCTAGCTCAAGAACAGTTACACCAATGCAACTCACGCCTCATCCTGTCATGACCAGAAAAGCAATAACAATGCTTATTGTCCTTAGAAGAGGGATGAGGAATGGCAGGCTGGTCTGGTCTTCATGTCTTTTCATTCCCTTTGCAGCAGTATTGTGTCATATCTTAAATATCTTTTCCCTCCTACTTCTACCCTCTTCAGCTATACCTTCGCAGGTAGATTCACTAGGAATTGAAAGGAGGGGTTTGTTCCTCCCCCTGCATCATTGATTTCTATCAGTGGAAAGAAGGGATGTAGAGGGTACTAAAACAATTGCTTCCTCTCAGCAATTTTCCAAGACTTATCAGGCCAAGACTCCTCACTGGGACTTTGTCCTTCTTTAAGTGAGATGTCCAGGCTTGTTGTGAAAATGAAGCTCCAGGTCTCATTTCCCCCCTTTAATTTGCCTGTTCCTTTTTGGGAGAAAACTGACAAATTCTGCACAGCTCATTGTCCTTTCTAGGAACAGGAATTGGTTTTTTTTTAAAAAAAAACCAACTCTGCACAGGCTGGTGTTTCTTCAAAAATGAAATGATCACAAATGATCTGAGAAATTCTGCTAGATTTCCTATGAGATTTCTCAAGGAGGGGAGAAAGCTGACACAGAGAAATCTCTGTGGGCATGATCCACAAACGCTCACATTAAAATATAATCAAGAGCGCAGCAGCAGTTGCAGCAGCCATTCCCCATGCATCTCTCCCTTTTGTCCTCCTGAATCTCAGGATGGGAGTCCATGCTCCACAGAAGACATGCTTTATGACCATGACAAAGGACTCATCAGCCTGTCTCAGGCCCTTTCTTTTCATGTCCTGACAAAAACAAGGTTAATTTCATCCCGACTGGATCCGCTTTCTGTCCAGTAAAACTTCTGGGTCCTTTACTACCTGCTTCTGACCTAATCATTCGTCTTTAAGGTGCCACATGCTTTTGTCTTGTTTTGTTTTTTCTTTGGATTTTGCCTGATATGCAGAGAAATCTCACAGTGGGAGAAAAGAGGGATTTTCCTGTCTTTAATTCTTGCATTTTTAATTAAAGCAAGAGACTACAAGATACATGTCTAAGAGGAAAATGACACATCTGCAGAAGACAGGGTCCTTCCCATGTGTTGGCTCTGCACATGGATAAAACCCCTTTAAAATCCTATTTGGAGTGGGACTGCTAAATGCGGAGATACCTTTTCAAGACTGAGTATGGCATATCTTTTCCACTGCAATCTCAACAAATAGTTAATAGCACTGTGGATTAGATAATGTTTGTTTAGTAGTGGCCCTCCCTGACAAATTGTAAGGTTCTTGACTCAAGCAGCAAATAGCAAGGACTCATTAGGTTATCCTGTTGCTTAGCTCTAACATTTGATTACTTTCCAGTGCTATTTATCAGTATGAAAACTGCAAGACTGAACAACTTTCAATATGTATGCTCCATTCAAGGTTTGTTGAATAGTTACCTTAGCTCTTAAGGGAAAGAAAATGAAGTCAATAGGAAACTGTTGTAAATCAGAATACCCTGGGTGATGTAGTGGCTTCAAGACAGATAGTCTGGACATGTCTGAGAATTTTTAAGTTCTCTCCAGTGGATTAGGAGACAACTTAAAGTAGGTATATCCCAAGCAACAGTGCATTTTTCTCTTGTTTTCATGCCCCTGAGTGTATTTTATAAATACAACATTGCTTATTTCATAGAAATAAGCTGGTGGCGCTGTGGGCTAAACCGCAGAAGCCTGTGCTGCAGGGTCAGAAGACCGAGCAGTTGTAAGATCGAATCCACGCGACGGAGTGAGCGCCTGTCGCTTGTCCCAGCTCCTGCCAACGTAGCGGTTCGAAAGCAAATGCGAGTAGATAAATAGGTACCATCTCGGTGGGAAGGTAAACAGCGTTCCGTGTCTAAATCACACTGGCCATGTGACCACGGAAAGATTGTCTTCGGACAAAATGCTGGCTCTATGGCTTGAAGAGCGGGATGAGCGCCGCCCCCTAGAGTCGGACACGACTGGACAAAAATTGTCAAGGGGAACCTTTACCTTTACCTTTATTTCATTCATGCCCCTGAGTGTATTTTATAAATACGACATTGCTTATTTCATAGAATTCCAAAAAGGAAGCAGATATAATTTAGGAAAAATGAAGTTTTCATGGATTATGATGCCGTGCATATTGGATTCATACAAGAACTTAAGCAAGACTTTTTTATCTGGGTATGAAGAAAAGTACTATATAGGTCTTAGGTGGGAAAGTTGTAATTTCATGTGTGTTGAGATATGTGTGTGCATACGTACACACACACACACACACAGAGGGAGGGGAGAGGGAGAGAGAGAATGCAACCCTCCAATGATACATACTTTGCTTACTTTAGACTTTCATTCTGC